ATTTAAACAATCAGTATCTATGAATCAGTTACAGAGATGAAAATATTTTCCTGTTTATATTGTTATTGTATGAATAACACAGATATTTTTTTTAAACAGACTATATCCTGTAATTCTTTTGAATTTCATTTCTAATTCACTTATATCCACAGTCATGATATATAGCTAATTTACTTTCTAAACAACAGTTTTTATTTATGTTTCAGTTTTGTATTTCTAAACTTGCTGCTCTTGATATGTTATTTACAATAGCACAACATCTGTCCAATGAAGTTATTCTTGATCGAGTCATTCCATATATTGTAAGTGATTCCAAACAATTGACAGCCTTAGGCCCAACATAGTTGGAGAATATTTTTTTTAATGGGCAACTCTGTAAGAATGCTTTTTAAAAAGCAGTCTTTCTGATGAACTAATTAGCATCTTCCCTAACAGGACGGTCATGGTACCTGGAAGGGGTCTCCTGTTCCCTGCTGGCACCACCTCTCTTGTATACTAAAAGAATACCTACTTGATCTGCTTACGCTATTTTCCCTTACAAGAGAAAACACACCTTGGAATTAACGGAACCATTGGGTTTTAGTGCTTCCTATCAACTTTACCTAGCAATTTCTAATTTCAAAGTGTAGCATTTTACCAGATTATTAATCAGTACATTTTTTTAAATCATCGGTTAGTTAACTTTGATCTCTATTTTATTTTTACTTAAATTTCTATAGTTAATAATATATAATGTAACGAAGTTTATATTGCTTAATTTTACACTTTTATAAAATGGGTTAACCCAACTAATACTGATTGGCTCTTGCTTGATATGTTAATTAGATTTCTTCCCAAAGCTACCATTCTAAACACTGATTGGCTCTTGCCTGATATTTTACTTAGATTTTCCCCAAAGTTATCATTCTAAATGCTGATTGGCTCTCGCCTTGTACGTAAATTAGAAAAGTTGTGAAGTATTTGGGTAGAGAAAAATTAGAGGAGATCGATTGGCGACCCCACTTTGATCGGACGTGAACTCAAATTGTCCTGTTTCCATTCCTACAGTAGTACCTGTATTTTGTACATTGTTTTGGTAAGTTTTGAAATACAGGAGTCACAAGGCTCATTACACGTGTTAAACTGTCTCCTTAATCTTCATTAGTTATCGGAAGTCGATGGAATGTCATTGTCGCTGAACCACACACTTGATCGATCGTAAAGAAATGTTATATTATTTTAAAACTCTTTTCTGCATTTTGTATAGCTGTATTTTGTTGAAGATGAATATGCTAGAGTCCGTGCAGCTGCTGTTAAAACACTTACAGACACTGTAGCTTTAGTCAAGTCTGTACCAAGGAGGTTAGTAAAACATTTAGTAAATATATAAATTAATATATTTAGTAAAACATTTAGTAAATATATAAATTAATAAAAAAAATAATCAATGTCACATGATTAAATATGCTTTTACAAACAATATGTCATGATTGACTCATATAATAAATAGTATTTAGTGGTCTTGCAATGAGTATTCTTTATCTTATAATAATATTAACAATAATTATAATAATTATAATTATTATTTTATGTATCTTTTTAGAAATGATAAAAAGTGTGTAGAGAATAGTTTATTACATAATTTTTAGACATTATGTACTTTATTCTTATTTCACTGTTGTCACTATTGTTGTAATATCTTTCAGTGATGCTAACATCTTTCCTGAGTACATACTACCTAAACTGGTGAGTGAATTAGATTGAATATAATTATTGCATAGATGAAATCATAAGATATCTTGAAAAATGTGGAAATAGATGTATATGCATAAATTCGTGTTATTTTAACTGACTGGAATCGTTGATTATGTGCTACATAATTTTTTTCAATTTGTAGACATCTCTTGCCCAAGATCCTGTAGTCCAAGTTCGAGTAGCCTATGCTGAGAATGTTGCCAAAGTAGCAGAAACAGCTTTAAGATTCCTCGAAATGGTTCAACTAGACCAGTCCAGCCAAGATTCAACAGAGTTGACACAGAATCCAGAAACAAATGTGCAATATACAGTAAGTATAGACTGTAAAAATTAAGGTACCTTACTCGCACGAATAACCGCCCCGTTTGAATAATTGCGCCTCTCGAATAAAGTGAAAATTGTCTTAGACGCCCCGTTTGAATAAGCGCCCTCCTAATTTGAATAAGCGCCCCTCGATGATTATTCATTTTTTAAAACAACATATCTTGTGATTGATTTTTTTAGCAAACGATAATCTGATCCTGAGACTGTGGTTGGCATGATTTGAGTGGATTCACATTCTCTTCTTTTAGTGTCAATTTCAAAATGAGGATATTTTATCCCAGACAGATGAAAGCTCCCTGGACAGTATCTTTCCAACTTTCCTTTTCTTACATTTATCTACTTCTCTTTTTCTTTTCCCAACCATTTGCACCTTTAGCACGTTTTCATGTGAGTTTGCAACAAGTCCTGCAATGATCCTGCTAATCTCAATCGCCAGATGGCCAACAAACTTAAACAAAACCACCACCACCATCTGCTGTTGAAACTCACAGAATTCTTGTCACAAGCCATGCTCTCGATTATCTTTTTTGCACCAGAACAATTTGTAATCTTCGGTTTTCGGATGTCCTTATATAAATTTTTTCATTAAAAAATCGTATATTGAATTTTCCAAGTTCCCAGAAGAACCCCTCAATTTTCATATTTTTCCATAAGCGCCCCCCTCAATTTCCACTGTATTCATAAGCGCCCCACAAAAATGCCAAAAACAATTTTAACCGCCCGAGTGCTTATTCTCATGAGTACGGTAATACAATTCGTATATTTATTTCAGCATTACACAAAATGATTTAGTTGTAATCAACTCTGCCATCTTAGTCTTCAGTTTCGTTGTCTCTGTTGTTTTAATCTCTTTTATTGTCTCTGGTTTTCCATATCTGACATTGACATACTAGCTGTCTCACAGTCTTTGCAGTTTCTAACTTCGTCTTCATCAACTCTATCGCTTCTGTCTACCACTCCTAATCCTAATTTTAAAGGTTTACTTATATTTTTTTGTTTCCTTTTTTTTGTAAACATTATATTTTTTCATTTTGTAGGTTAGCTATGATTTGGAGCTTCAAAATCTCCATGATATGATCCAATCCAAAGTTGTTCGTTTATTAAGTGACTCGGTAAGTTTTCTTTTTCCTTTACTTGATTGATTGTTCTAAATTTTCTTATCTATTGTATTTGTCTATACCATATTTATTTAATGTATTCCTTCAAAGAAATCTGGTTATTTCATTCCCTTGATGCTCCCTAAAAAGGTCTCTTAATGAGGCTTGGTGATTGAAGTTGTTTTTGGATGTAAGTATGTGTATATCATGATTATGGCTTTATTTTTGTAAGATAACAGTATGTATTTTTGTTAACTATTGTCCAGGAAAATATTGTGAAACGAACCCTGTTAGATAATGGTATCACCCAGCTTTGTGTGTTCTTTGGTCGTCAAAAGGCCAATGACATCCTCCTCTCTCACATGATCACCTTCCTGAATGACAAGGTAAACAAATTAATTAATTATGAATAAATTAGATAAATTCTGTTAAGTGTTTTGAATAAATTTTCTTAGTAGGATTGAAAATGTTGACTAATGTTATTGTTTCATAAATGTTTAAAGATTGTATATATGTTTCGCTGTTACAGATATTTTTTTAACATGCAACTTAATTTTACAGGTTGAACTCTTCAATAATGCATAATGAATTGGCTTTGGTATTTTTATCTTTAACTTGAGACATATCTTGGATTACCTAGTCAATTTATTTAACTGATTTTTTAAAGCTAATTGACTCTTGTTTATAAGAGTATGTTAGGCAAGTGAGAGTGGTGTTCACCGATGTTTTTTCTTCTCTCAGCATGATTGGCATTTGAGGGCGGTGTTCTTTGATAATATTGTTGGTGTTGCTGCGTATGTTGGTTGGCAAAGTAGTTTTATACTCAAGCCTTTAATCCAGCAGGTGAGTAGTAGAAGTAGACAAAGCAATGCTTGTAGAAGCGGTTCCCGCTGTGCATTTCGCTTGTGTCCTTGAGCAAGGCACTTTATCTGCATTGCTTCTTTCTACCCAGGAGTATAAATGGGTACCTGGTGGGATTGTTTGCTCCTGCGCTGAACACTTAAGCATGTGGATCCAATGACCAGGGACAGAAGCGCTTCGTATCTGCAAAGAAAGGCGCTATATAAATATATATGAATATATATATGAATACCTGTGTGTACCTAAGCTTCAAATAATTACAAGTATAAACATGAACATTTAGGAAGCATCCATATACTCCTGGGTTTTTGGAAAAACAGTATACAGTTAAGCTTTTGAAACATCCTACAGTATGTCATCTGAGCCTCTGCAAACCACCTGTAAACAATTGAGCCTTTGAGAACCACCTGTGTACACCCGAGTTTCTGAAAACACTTGTATACAACCCTGCTTCTTATATACACATAAGTTTATAATACTCACCTGTATACACAGGATTATTGAGGACCACATGTATATACCAGGGCTTCTGAGGATCACCTGTATACACCAGGTCTTCTGAGGACCACCTTTATGCACCAGGGCTTCTGAGTACCACTTGTATACACCTGGGCTTCTGAGGATTACCTACCTTTGTATACACAAGGGCTTCTAAAGACCACCTGCATACACCTGGGCTTCCGAAGACCACCTGTATACACCAGGTCTTCTAAGGACCACCTGTACACACCTGGGTTGTATGTATAGTTTGATTGATATCATTCTTACTTCCATTACCATTTTCTAGGGCTTGGCAGATAGTGAGGAGTTTGTGATATGCAAGGCACTGAATGCTTTCTCCAGTCTTGTTGAAATTGGCTTGATTGACAAACTACTCGTTAGGGATCTGACCAATGAAATTGTCCCATATCTTTGCCATCCCGTAAGTACATATCAGTTTATTTTAAAATTTAGAGGGTGCTTCACATTTTGTAGATGTGGTTCTTCGACACAGTAGCAGAGAGCATTGTTATAGGATTATGGGCTGAGACAGACTGTTCTCATTAAACATTTTGAAGTTCCACAAAAAGCTGTAGGTTTGGTAGTTAATACATTGTTACATGTTACCTGTAATTTTTTTCAGGATGATTGATTTTAACCATGGCAAAACAATGCAAGATGACACTAAGAACTAAAAGGCTACTAATGTTGGGAAAGTTAGATGTTTCTGCACCTTGCTAAATATTCATAGGAAACATTTTAAACAGTGAAGAGGATATTATTTTCTTACAAAGCATAAAAGAAGTTGCTATTGCATGTTTGGATTAACTAAAGCCGGTTTATCAAATTTTCTTTGGTTTGACAAAAACTGTTGTATGCCCATATATAGTCATTAAGTGATGTCATTATGACCATATTTAGGCATATCACATGATTTTGTTAAATAAAATTTGATAATGTGGACAGTGCTTTAATGTGTTTAAATTATTTGCAGAGTTACTGGATTCGTCATGCTACAGTTGGTGTGATTGCAACAATAGCAAGAACTTTGAACAAAGCAGATGTTTTCTGCTACGTACTTCCATTGCTACAACCATATTTGGCAGAGACCATTATCCAAGTAGATAAAGAGGTTAGTTACAATAAGTATGATTTAAATTACTTTTTTTACTAATTTTTAAAGATCATGCGTACATTTTTTAAACTTCAGTATTTATTTATAGTTGATGTCTAGTGACTGAATGCAATTTTCGTAATTTATTTTTATATATTTTTTAAGGCTTACCTGTATCTAAATTTTATAAATCGATTGATTTTCTCTCTTTATCTAATACTGTTAAAATATTTAATATGTTTTGTATCTATTCTGTGTGTTTTTACTGAGATTCATTCTTTACTTTACTCCACAGTGCTATTAATAATATCTGTTATGTTTTACTATTGATATTGTATGTGTAATATTTTGTATGCCAGAACTGAAATGAAATAAAAGTGATGATATTTTTTCAAAGCCTATTCTTCTGAGTGCTCTGGAAGAACCAGTGCGCCGCTCTATATATGACTACGTTCTACGTCTGAAGAACCTAAACGACCTGCTAGATTCCCTCCATGACCGGCAACTAATTCGTAATATCACAAGACCTGGGCACAAGCCAGACTATACAAGTGCAGAGGATCCCAACCTCGCTCAGGTAATGGATTGTATACACATGAATATCTTTTAATATCCTTTTTATTACTTTTAGTTTTCTTTTACATTACAAAGATTAATGAAAATGGCCCAAAGGCTGGGGTTTTTTCTCTCGACAATATTTCATTCTTGTAGTGCTACATATCTTTTAACATTAATGGTATACATTTCTTCTTTTTTAGGTTTATAAAAAACTGTTTTCTCAGGGAATGACTGAAGATGATGAAGAAAAGATTCTCCTGATGAAATTTATTCTGCTTAAGCTGAGTGTTTCAAAAATGGCGTAAGATGTGTATTCTTCTTTCATGCATCTATATATTGTGGTGTTCATGCAATAAAAAATGAACAAAATGTATGTCATTTTTAAAATACTGACAAAAATAATGTTAATAATGAGTGATGTTATTTTTTGCATATTATCCGAAGCTGTATATTAGCTTGAAACTTACGTAAACCGGGTCCCAAGTTGGAACTCACTTCTGGGAGCTTTCTTAACACATTGTCTTTATTTTGTTGGTATTGGTAATATTCATTGTCTCTATTTTCTGTGAGACAATTGATAATAAGTCGTAAAAACAAGCAATTATTATGAATTTGCGGAAGATGGAATATTTTCTGGGAGATTCTTGCTTGCTTGCAGGAGAGCAAGACACCATTCTGTTTTCTGGGAGACTCTCGCGACTTTTGGGAGACATGGGACCCCTGTGTAAAAAGTAATTAAAAAGTATTATTTGTATTGGTTCATACAGATTGTCTATGAATGAGAGTGCTCCTACTCCCGATGGGGGCTTGCTCAGCGCCCCTGGATCGATCAACCTTGCTCTTAAAATGGACATCCAGCGAAACCATGCAGACATGTTGAAGCCTGTCAATTCTCGATCTGATGATGGCAATAAAGCAGCAAATAGAAAGCTTAAGAAACGGCCATCGAATGTGGAACCTATCATGGTAACATTTCTAATCTTCATTTGCATTTTGAATATACAATATGTTTTTTGTATATATTATATTTATAAAGTTCATTCATCAGTGGCAGAGATGAATGCCAATGTCTTATTTTTATTTTTTTAATATACAATATGTTTTTTGTATATATTATATTTATTAAGTCTTATGACTTATTTTTTTTTTTTTTTTAACGTGTCCTTTTCTTTTTATTGGTAAATTTTTTATGTTTTCTCTTTTTTGTGCCATCAACTTTTCAGTTATTTTTAATAGCTTTTGATGTATTTTTAAAACATTTAAATGGTTATTTTCTTCTTTAATCAATTCCTCCTTTGTTGTATTTGTTGCTGTGATTGAGCATAAAATAACACAAACAAACAAACATTGGTTTGCTTAACCATGACAGTGATAGATGGGAAGTCGGTGTACATGGTATTGGCTGACTGAACACTAGATTGGTTGACCAAGTCCAAATGTTCATATATCAAGGACAGTGGCAGGGTTATGTTTTTTAATACTATTGTGTGACCAAGTAATTAGACATACATCTGATTATATTGGCATTATTTTCAAATTTCTGCAGAATGAGGATTGGAAGAGTATGTTTGGTGACGTTGTAGCAGCAAAAGCTGGCGCCAAGCAACCCCAAGCTAATGCTCCTGTTCAGAAGGCCCAGGAGGCATATCCAAACCAAGTGACATCAGAAGGGGCAGATACTGCAAAAAAGCCATTAGCAGACCCAGTGACGGACCCACAGCATGCAGGCTTTACAGCCAATGCTCCTATCAGCATGTCACAGCTTCAAGCTTCCACAGAAGGATTGAGTTTAAAGAAAACCCAGGCTCCAAAACCAAAATTAGCCCAACCCCAAAGTAAGTATTTTGGATGGTTGTTTCTGTATAAATTATGGAATTTGTTAGGCCTACCAATTCAGTTAAGACAGATCACTTTCAGAAATGTCTTTGTTTTAAAACTTAAAACATTGTGTTAACCAAGTGTTGAGAAAAAAGCCAAGTTTTCTTTATTTTATTATTAATTAATTATTCAGTTGTATTATTTAGAGGTGGGGATGAATTCCTTGGCTCCCATTGTAATTCATACCATGTTGTATCATGTATGTTTGTAATAAAGAGGGATAATAATATGTAAATACTAATACTAATACTAATAGAGTAATGTTAATGTGTTTAAATAAATATATTTAAAATTTTATGCTTATTTTAAATTATTGTCCAATAGTTCGGCAGGCAACATGTCGTATACAGCTTCGTAAAATTGTGGCCAAGAAACGTGAACAATACCAGTCGAATGAAACAAGACAGCGATTGATTGAATACGTAACAATAGATACCAAAGTGCCTCAAGAAAATTGGCGACCAAAGGGCCTGCTGGTAGCACACCTTCACGAGCACAAAGCAGCGGTTAACAGGTGAGTCAGTATGATAACCTCAAGTGAGGTATATACTATAAACTGTATTTTTATTATTCTTATCCCAGAACCTTGTTTCTTTGGTATGGTTAAACCTCCTATCTGGCAAACCCCCTTCTGAGCATGCTCTTGCAGCAAAACCCATCAATATAATGATAACATAATGATTATATAATGATACATGCTAGAATGCTTTGCCCTCTGACCCCACAAGAGCTATGTCATGTATCCAAACATGATGTCTAGGCACCACCTGAAAATCCTTATTACATACTTATTAAGAACTTCGCAAATAATAGAACAATACCCATTATTATCACTACAGTATTATCAGTACTGTATTGAGGTGGTATAAGTATGGTACCTAGTGGAATAGCAGTAAGTACATGATGTAATGTCAATTATTTTTTCGGTAGGTTGCACATCAGTCACGATCATAGCTTCTTCGCAACTTGTTCTAATGACGGGACGGTTAAAATTTGGGACTGCAACAAACTAGTAGGCAATAGCAATACGAATCGCTCACGACAGACGTACTCGAGGCAGACTGGACGCATCAAGTCTTTAACGTTTTGCCAATCATCACATAACATTGCATCGGCCTCTGAGGATGGCTCGATATTTGTTTTCAAGTAAGTCTTATCCATGCAGCTACAGATGAATATACATATTAAACATATTACTTTATGTTTCAGAAATCATAATAATTGCTATCATTAAGATAAAGTAACTTTATTCATAATCCATATAAAGAAAGAATTTTAATACTCTGTAATGCAGCTATTGCATATCTTTTATATGTAATAATTAAATGTTTATGGATGAATATGTACAGTAGTACAAGTAGTAACTTGATTACATACTTGTAGGATAATGCAAATAAATATGCAAATAACAATGCAAAAGAAAACCATTGAGGATATTATCGTTTTATTTCTTTTATTTTCTTTTAATTAAAAATGAAAATTCTATTGGACATCAAAAGCAACATAAAATGTCAGGGAACCCAGAATAAGAAACGAAGTTTAACTTAACTACCGCCTTAACTGCGACAAAAATGTTATCCAAATAGTATATAATTTCAAAATATATATGTAAAATCATACAACAGTTATTCTGAGGAATTTCTCAACTTCAGTATTACACAAAGAATTGGCATTGGTTTGTACTTTCTTTACTTACTGTACTTACTTTTGTACTATCACAGATCAAATTATACCTTCATATAAATTGTTTAAAACTGGAAATCTCTTCATTGCTGTTGTTTACATTTTTTTCTTCAAGGATTGAGGCCGAATCTTTGAGGACAGGTCTTCTTCATAGCCGCAATCTTGACCTGAATGAGGATGGGCCAGCAATTGACCTCAGTCATTATGATACAGGCTCTCAGTCGGTGCTAACTTACGCAACAGTAATGGGAAAACTTGTAGGATGGGATTTACGAGCACCTGGCGTTGCCTGGAGGCTACAGAATGACTTGAAATACGGTGAGAATCATTTAGGGATCTAACTATAGAACAAATCTCTAAAATTGCAGACCATAGAAAAGATTTTTTTCTGTTTCCCTCTCCCCACACCTTTTGTTTGTCTGCCCGGCATCTTAAATTAGTATAATTTAACATATGTACTTAGACTGGAGATGCATCTAGTCTTGGGAAATAAATTATCTATTGATTATAATAAATTTAAAAATCAAAATTAGATCCATGTACTAGGAGCATCAAGGTTGTTTTTTCAATCACTAATTGATATAATTTTTTTCTTAGTTTGTACCTCTATATTGCTTTCAGCCATGAACCTCTCATATCCCAATTAAAAAAAAGGAATAAAAAACCCACCAGCCTGTTTAAGAAAATAGCTTAATTATTTAGTTGCTTTCATATTTTTCTTATCTTTTGTGTTGTAAAGGCTTAATCACAACATTTGCAGTAGACCAGAAGCAGTGCTGGTTGGCTGTGGGTACCAGCAGTGGGAAACATATATGCTGGGACATGAGATTCCAGTTGCCTATTACCACAATAGCCCATCCAACAAGTACGTTTGATCTGGTTATTCTTCATGCATGAGTCCGCTATTTCACTATCCAGTCATAACACTCCAATCACGGTGGAAATTTAAAGAGATTTTGAAGGATGAATGATTTTAATGTAAGCCAATTAAAAATAGTGTGATTGTATGTTGTAAAGTGACCACTTAAATAATTCATCAAATTTTTCATAATCCTTGAAACTCTTTCCACACCATCAAATTTTCTTTGACAAAAAACTGTTGTATTCCCATATTTAGTCATGATGTGCCTAAATATGGTCATGATGTGATGTCATCATGACCATATTTAGGCATGTCATATGTTTTTGCCAAATAAAATTTGATAGCCTGGACTGGGCTTAATTTGTTTTGCAGGTGCCAGGGTCCGTCGCATCATGGTTAATGCATTGCATACGTCTGGCCTCATTTCCAGTATACAAGGTAATAATGAGGTGTCTATGTGGGACCTGGAGACAGGGGCACGCCAGCTTACCTTGTGGGCCAGCTCGTCCCCACCCTTATCGCAAAGCCAGGTGAGAAAAATTTTTGTTGGTTCAATATCAACTTGGTATCCCTTTTCATTTGAAGGAGAGCACTGTGTACTTGAAAGCTTGTGTGAAGTGATATTAAACTAGTCTTCAAAGTACTGGTCTCCCTAAACTTTAAAGGCTACTTTGGGACCTGGATTTTCATAGTCTGTAGCAGCTTTGGACTTAATTTTCAAAAGTATAATAAAAAAGATAGGCGTTCATTTGGGGCTGCATTGCAGGGGGTCTTTATAGGTGTAATTTTTGCCCTACCTGACGTGGAAATGTACTGAATACTCAGTACATTGGAAAACAATTGCGAAAAAAATCACAAGTTTTTCTCGGGTGGGACACGAACCCACGATCTCCAGATCACTAGCCTGGCATCATACCTCTAGACCAGACCGAGCTTGCGCCTAATGGCCAGAGTTGAATTTGAGTCTTTACTTAGAGGGAGACCTGTAGTGCTATTTCCAGTCTTTTATTTGGCATCTCCTTATTTAAAAAAAAATTTTATTGAATTACATTGATGCTTTTTTGCTATTGTATTGTTTTTCTTTTTGGGTGGGTGAGGGTTTGTTTTACATAGTAAAAATATGGAGGTGTTTATCTCAAACTGCAAAAAATGACTTTATATGTGACTTTTTTGGGTGAATGGGTTTTGTAGATAGGCATAGTAAAAATATGAAGTTTTTTATCTTGAGCCTCAAAAAATTATGTTATATGTACTTTATATATATATATTAATTACTGTTAGCCCTTTATTCTCTTATTTAGTGATTGTATTTGACTGGATTGTAATGTATATACCACCAATTCAGTGTTCTCTTTACTTAGCAGATGATTTTTTATTAGTATTACCCCTAAGCTTGCCAATATTTTATTTTGTTTTTAAAGATTTTTACAATAGTTTTTAGTTATTTAAAAACAAATGTACTGTTTATCAATTTATTTTTCTAGGCCACAATCCATGGTGTTAATGGTATGTACCATTACCCAACAAATGGGTCTGGAGCAGCAATGATCACGGCTGGGTCTGACCAACGCATCAGATTCTGGGATCTAGCATGCTCCGCTCGCTCTTACATCATTGCAGGCTCTGCTAATGATCCTCAAACACAGCCTAATGTATCGTACAAGTAAGTTACTCAACACTATTCAAATACAATATTTTATTGCTGTATATATCTGTCTCTTATACACATCTAGATGTGTATAAGAGACAGACCTAAGCTCCTACGATTTGGGAATGTATATATTTGAAAACATGTTGAGTAGTGTGGGAAATAGAAGGTTTAGCTTTACACTGAACAAGTCTACAGTTATAAATAATAAAAATAGATTACGTTGGAAAACAATTGCGAAAAAAATCACAAGTTTTCTTGGGTGGTACTCGAACCCACGATCTCTAGATCACTAGCCTGGCATCATACCTCTAGACCAGACCTAGCTTGCGCCTAATGGCCAGAGTTGAATTTGAGTCTTTACTTAGAGGGAGACCTGTAGTGCTATTTCCAGTCTTTTATTTGGCATCTCCTTATTTAAAAAAAAATTTTATTGAATTACATTGATGCTTTTTTGCTATTGTATTGTTTTTCTTTTTGGGTGGGTGAGGGTTTGTTTTACATAGTAAAAATATGGAGGTGTTTATCTCAAACTGCAAAAAATGACTTTATATGTGACTTTTTTGGGTGAATGGGTTTTGTAGATAGGCATAGTAAAAATATGAAGTTTTTTATCTTGAGCCTCAAAAAATTATGTTATATGTACTTTATATATATATATTAATTACTGTTAGCCCTTTATTCTCTTATTTAGTGATTGTATTTGACTGGATTGTAATGTATATACCACCAATTCAGTGTTCTCTTTACTTAGCAGATGATTTTTTATTAGTATTACCCCTAAGCTTGCCAATATTTTATTTTGTTTTTAAAGATTTTTACAATAGTTTTTAGTTATTTAAAAACAAATGTACTGTTTATCAATTTATTTTTCTAGGCCACAATCCATGGTGTTAATGGTATGTACCATTACCCAACAAATGGGTCTGGAGCAGCAATGATCACGGCTGGGTCTGACCAACGCATCAGATTCTGGGATCTAGCATGCTCCGCTCGCTCGTACATCATCGCAGGCTCTGCTAATGATCCTCAAACACAGCCTAATGTATCGTACAAGTAAGTTACTCAACACTATTCAAATACAATATTTTATTGCTGTATATATTGAATATTAAATATGACTTATGACTAAAGTTATTCTAGTACAAAATGTTAGCTGACAAAGCTTCAGAAAATTTGTTATAATAAATGTATTTTAGCTTTAGATTTATATGAAAGTGTTTGGTGTTTCTTATAACAACGTAACATTTTTATATATCTTATATACATATTATTCAAATTAGGTTTGCTGCATAGCACCATAAACACAATATAAACAGATAGATAATATTAATACAGTAGTGCCTAGGTATAAGAACATGATGATTTCATAATCGAATATGTGTATACATAATAATAATTGTGAACTTATATAGTGCATAATGTATAAAATACCTCTTCATTTTACTGCAGGAAGTGGGATAATTTATTTAAAGTTAACACCTAATTAAAAAAAATAATAACAACTTTATAAGTATTATTAACTTGATTTTTTTTTAAAGTTATGAATAATTTGAAAAATACAGTGATTTAATTTTCTTTGATCTACTTAATTATTTGTTTAAATATTTGTTTTCTTGTTCTTATAACCTTACTTTCATTCTTTCCCTTTTTCATGTCTTTTCTTCCATTTTCCTTTCTTTTCCTACATCTTTAGCATACCTAGTCATTTCACTACTGTATATGCATCATAAATTTTTTAATTAAGAAATAGCAGCAAGCTTTCTCTCATTTAATTAACTTATTATTTTGGCCAATAGGATTTGGAAACACAATATTTAATTTGTTTGGACATGTCAGTAGATTGTCTGAATACATTTGAGTGGCTTCTAAAAGCTGTGACATTTAATATTAAGATTGTATTAAGCTCTATGGTGCAGAGATTTGTAATTATAATTAGTATGCGTAAATGGTGCAAACCTTTTAAGTATAATTTGTTCTAATCCATTCTCATTCACCTCTATTTATCCATCCATCCATTATATTCTTATTTTTCACCTTGATATTAATCTCCCCAAAGGATGAAAAAGCTCTGGAGAGGCTATTTTATCTGCCCGTTGTTGTGGTTGATGTAGTTGTTGGTATTGTTATTGGTGGTGTTATTGGTTTTGTATATGTTGGTGTGTGGTGTGGCCAATGCTTCTGTTGGTGGTGTAGGTGTTGTTGTTGGTGTAGTTGTTGGTATTGTTATTGGTGTTATTAGTGGTGTTATTGGTGGTATTAATGTTGGTGTGTGGTGTGGCCAATGCTTCTGTTGGTGGTGTAGGTTTAGGTGTTGTTGTTGGTGTAGTTGTCGGTGGCGTTGGTGTTATTGCTGGTGTTTATTTTGGTGTGTGGTATTTGGGATGCTTATGTTGGTGGTGTAGGTGCTGTTGGTGGTGTTGGTGTTATTGGTGGTGTTGATGGTGGTGTGGTATGGGGATGTTTCTGTTGGTGGTGTAGGTGGTGTTGGTTGTAGTTTTGGCATTAGCTGTGGTGGCATTGGTGGTGGAGCTGTGGTCAGTGATGGTGTTGTTGGTGATATTTGTTAATACTGACCCTAATATTTACAATGTTTGCATAATAAAATTTCAGACAAAATGTCAAATAATGGCTATGTATTCTAGTCTTTATTTTTAATCTAAAAACAAAGAATTGAAGTTTTGGTTCAATTCTCCATTAATAGGCAGAAGGTTGTTGATGGGGATGAAGTGTTTGTTGAGACATACGGAAAGCAGCGGTCATCACAAAATGAAGATTCACCGCGTAGAGGCCCAGAGCAAGTGCCACCTGGACACCGAGATGTCATCACCGATATTGGTGTCTACCACACTAATCCAGACCAGTCTTTCATAGTTTCTACATCAAGGGATGGTGTTGTTAAAATTTGGAAGTAATGTAAGATGTTGGCTTCCTATTGTGTAACCATCTGTAATGGGCTTGTGAATCTCCAATCACTTTTATTGTGTTTAAATAAGCCCAAGCATCCATAACTTAAGTTAGATTGAATATTTTTCTTATGATAAACCAACCTTAAGTAGACTTACTCTGCTAAGTTCCAGCTATCTTGTGAATGATGTAATTTTCTAGATTACATACTTTGGTGCTTCCTACAAATGGAAGTCTACTTAATTTTAGTTTAAAAACAATATTCAACCTAACGTTAATGAAACCAGATTTTTTTTGGAGAATATCTGGGTTTGTATGAAAAAGTGAATAGATTATATAAAGTATCTAACATTACTAGTTTTGTCTAAAATTACTCTAGTAAACCTTATCTTCATCTAAAATTGATCTAGTATCCCCTAGGTCCAACAGAGTCCTAGGTTTGAATTTACTATAGTATCTCCTGGGTCCATCAAAATTTACCCTAGGAACACATAGGCTTGTCTAAAAGGTGATTAGTACTCCTATGTTTATTTTGACTGCATATTCATCTTCTTTTTAACTGTTTTGATATACAGATGAGGTATTCGTGTTACCAATTTTACTCATGGAACTCTATGTAAGATTATTTTGTCATAGACCAATATTGGTGCGAAAAGTGGGGCGTATTTTACAATTTTGTTTTCGTTTTGACTGCTACGAATTGTGCAAATATTATACAGATAATCATTAATGTTTTTATTGATTAAAAATATTTTTAAAATAAAATTTATTCATTTTTTTGTTTATAATTATAGTGACTTACTCACAAGGTGATAAATATTGGATACGCATTCATTGCTATAATGCTGTAGAAATTAAATATCCTGACCTTTACATTTCATTGCTGGCTGCAATGTGGTGCATAGCTTACCGTCTATATGTGCACATACTTTCTTAAATATTTAGATTACACCAGCTCATCATGAGAGCCACTATAAGTCAAATTCTGCTTGAATGAACGAATATCAGTGATATAGAACTCCCATGTAAGATTACTTTGTCATAGGCCAATTTTGGTGCCAAAATTAGGATGTATTTTACAGTTTTGTTTTTCATTTGGACTGCTAAGGAATTGTGCAAATATTATACAGAAAATTACTAATGTTTTTATTGATTTAAAGATTATAAAAATAAAATTTATTCATTTGTTTTTGTTTATAATTATAGTGTTTAATTCACTCACAAGATGATAAATATAAGATACGCATTCATTGCTATAAAATGCTGTTAAAATTAAATATCCTGACCTTTTACATTTCATTATTTGCTGCGATGTATTTGCTGTATGTATTTGCGCACATACTTGCTTAAAATATTTAGATTACACCAGATCATCATGAGAGCCACTATAAGTCAAATGCTGCTTGAATAAGGAATATCATTGATGAGTTTTTATGTTTAAAGCCCTGTCTAGACTATTAAATTTTCTTTGACAAAAAACTGTTGTATGCCCATATATAGTCATGATGTGGCTATATATGGTCATGATGTGATGTCATCATGACCATGTTTAGGCATGTCACATGTCTGGACAGGGCTAAGTATGTACTTGTGACTTAATTTCATTCCTATCTGTTCATGTGGTTACTTTATAGTTGAAACAACTACGTGACATGAATTTATTATACAAATAAAACAAATATATTGAATCTATCAAAGAATCTAATGTTATCAAAAGTTTGTATGCATCTTGAATGCTTGTAAATTTAACTTAGTGCATAGATAATTGTATACAGTCTCTATCAATTTCCAAATAAGCAATTTCTTAGTCTGAACTGCACATGCCCATATCAAGGCCAGTCGGCAGAACCACCTGCCGTACACATAGGTTTATGCCGATTGACCTTGGATACGAGCATACGCAGTTCTAACTACAAATTGGCTTATTCATTTTATTGTTTACACAGTATAAAAATCCTAATATTGGTCTACCTGTCAGTCGTTCGGTGTTGTATCGAGGATTACTGACATGAAGGGGACGGGGTGGGGCTGAGAGGACATGAACGTTAAATTGGGGATCAAGGATTAACTGACCGGAGTAAGCTTGAAAAATAAGGTGGTGTTGAGGCGCATGAGTAGGCAAGCTGTTTTGGGACATTTTATTTATGCACATAAAAATAAAAAATAATTAAAAATTGGCAAGAAGAAAATAGAAGAAAAGGCATGCCTATACAGTATTTCCTCAAAAAGAATTGTCAATTCTAACTAAGGAACGGTTATTTGCAAGTCTGTTGATTAGCGATAAAATATTCAATACATATATATTTAACTTTTTAAAATAACATTTCTATATTCATGCAATGCTTAACAATATACTTAAACTTAATGTGATTGACACAGATTTTGATTGATTGTTCGATCTTTCTGCTAAGCACCGCCATTTTGATGTTGTGCTAAGATCCTTCAAAATGACAGCTGTAAACTTGTGTGGGGCATGTGCGTATTTCTGGCCGCTCCCATATTGTAGCACATTTTAGTTGGTCAGTTTGTAGGTTTAATTGACAATCCAGAAAGTTTCATTAATGCGCAGATTCAACTGTTGATGACTCTGGCGTGGTCAATGTCATTGCAGACGTTTCTTCCGATGTTTCTACATTGTGCCGAGTCTTCACATTTGCATGACGTCTCCTGTTGGATCTATTAACGTTCGTAAGGTTGCCAGTTGGTGCAATGCCTTTCCCGTACGCATCTATATCACTTTGACTCGATAGTCCCGTGTCATATGAAAGTCGATATAGCTTCATTGATGATTCTGGCGTCTTGTTTATCAACGGCTGTGAACTGCTATTGTCTGACTTGAGTGTATTTAGTTCATTTTTGAGTGTCTGGTTTTCGTCTTGTAATCGTTTTATTTCATCTTCCGTTCTATTTGTCATGGTTTTAATTTGTAGTTGCATGCGTTCGAGTTCATCTTTTAACAATTTGTTTTCATTTTCGTAAGAATTCTTCTGAGGGCCAGGATCCGGAACTGTTTTGGTCAATTTATTTGAAGGACTACTTCCCATGATGCGTCACTAGTCTGTGGAAAGTAATATAGCAATACGTTGATAATACGAATTATAGTAATAGATTTAAACAGTGTCATTATTATCTGAATGAATTTAATATAACTTTAGGAGTTGGAAACTTTGTTATATGAGTTAGGTTGACTATCCCGAGCTAAGCGTTTTGCAACTCGTAGTAAAGAAAAAGAAAGGAAAACTCTTCGGAATTTCATAGCCAACTCGTAAAACCGCGTCAAAAACCCAGGAAACTTTTACAACGGCGAAGTCGTAGTTAACTTTTACGCATTTCTTAACAAATTTAATGAACTCGTGGGCTTATTTTTTGCATATTTTGATTCCCTTATTGCCCATAATTTTATATTTAAAATGTATATTCGAGGGTATAAGGCATAGATATAAGTAAATAACAAGTAAATTATTTAGTGACTACAAGTAAAAAACAAGGTGAAAAGAAGGGTGGAGATAATGACCAGTTAGCAGCTGAAAGAATGATTTTGTATAAAAAAAAAACAAAAAAAAACAACATTAAGCCTACTACTAACACGTTATAGTTTTATCGTTTTCCTTCATAAATATATTTAGGCCCTAATATAAGATAAGCGAAAACTAAAGCAGGTGATTAAGGAAATATAATCTTAGATTTTACAACTTTATAATGATGTTATGTAATATCGGTTCAAATTCTTGAATGGTTAGAACAATGTCTCTTCAAGACAATAACATGTGAACATCGCAGAAAAAAATATCTTACGAAATACAGTACTTACAATCAACTAAATCAAATAAATGTTTATAGAGTATAGTACACTACAGTATAAGTAACCGCCAAAGTATATATCTTCCAGCAGGCCCATCGGTTGCTAATATAATAACGTGCTTCTCTATGGTTGTCAACTCACGTTTATAATTATGCCGTTGTCATGCCAACGATGACGTAACTCCCATGTGTACAAGTTTACTAATACCTGATGTGTCCGTCTCAAATTATTATTCCATTTCACCCACCGTTTCTTGTGATTCTTCTAAATTGTTTTCATAATATTAATGTATAATCCTTCAGATTTAATAATCAGCAAGGATCTACTACATATTTAAAAATTTTTAAGAAACATGCTAATGCGCGTCACTATTAGCGATTGCACTGATGGACATTTCAACAATGCAAAGCGAAAGATAATAAACGCCAATCATTAGACCATCTACTGCTTTCAATGGTAAAGACCTCGTAACATAATGTTTTCAAAATAGATGAGTCAGCAAAGATGACAAAATGACAGATGAGTAGCCGACACCATAACCATTAAGTTATTTCTGTCGCCCGTGGGAAGTTGAACAATAAATGCTATAGAAGTGGACTGATGTTTTAGCAGTAAACTAACCATATAATTACTTACTGTATACACAGAGCACGCAAGTGACGAAGAAGACAATGCAATCACCTAATGAAGCGAGATCATACTGATAGATGAGGGTGTTAGGAGGGGTGGGGAGGAGTAGGATGAGTTTCGATTACCATGCCAAAATTGCAATGTTCCAAATATAATCTGAAACTACAGCCACTATGCCCACAGTTTTCGGATTCTGTGTGTACATTCGCACGCCAACACAAGTGTACTGTGTCATTATTTCTTATTCTTGAATATACATAATTATTTACTATCAGTCCGCCATTTAATAAAAGTGTATCGTCTCTGTGCTTATTTAGTTATGATGAGGCTACACTAAACTCGACCAATATACTAATTATAATCAATGAGTTAATAATTACGAGTTCATCACAGTTTACAAATTAGCACAGTTTTTAATGTACTGCAGTGGTTTAAGTTTCCTCTTGGCAGACACTAGATCACTACATGGAATAATTAATGAGGATAGTGGCGTGTTATAATTAAAGACTGAATATTTTTTTAATGCAATTGAAAGATGAAATATTTAAAAATGTTTTAAATATTTTAAGATTAATGTAAATGGTTTTTGTGTTAATGTTTTAATGTTTAGACAACAAGATACATTTAGACATTTTGAACTATACAACAATTTACAGAAAACTAATATAAAATAATAGTCCTAAATTTTTAATTTAAGATTTATGATTATGGCAAAAAAAATTATGGAGGATTGGCCGGATAGGTCCCCTAATCAAACCATGTCCGCTTATATATTTTGTGCAAACTAACATCCATAAACATAATGATTTATTATCTACTGATTGGCTTTTGACGTATTCGAACCATAAACAACAAATCAGATAAATTTAAAACATCACTCTAATTTAAACTCTTTGAATGAACAGTACACTACTTTTAAAATTAATCAAGAGGTTTTTCCTTTTCTCCCATTTTTGAATTTCACTTTGTGCAAGTAGTATTGCGACTACACTGTTGTGAGTGGGAATATTACTGTCTAGGAAGATAGGAAACACAAAACATTAGTTAACATTTTTATTTCACAAACATAACGGTGATTTACTTAGTTTATATTTATCATGACGCTATGGCGAGATTGCGTCAACGTAACATCGGAGTTCGTAAACTTGTGGGCGCACTACTTAAAAATTAAGTTCAAATAGAGACCGTGTCAAAGCATGTCAAAGGCTGTAAAATTGTTTAATAACAGCTATGTCAAATTCAGTTGATTAACTATATATTTCTTTTTTTTAAATAGGAAAAACAGGAATCTATGTATGCAGATGAATTAGTATTTAGACACTAGTAAATTGTGCACTTTTAAGTTTGTAAAAATGTTTGCATAATACGTTTACACGCTTCCAATTTTAACAACGTACAGTAGGCCTACATTGTTTTCACAATAAATCATATCCTTTGATAACCATTGTATCCATAAAAGTCGATGAAGCGGTTACTGAGATGGTATGAATATACAAACAATTGCGTTTTTACGTACGCGATTTTAGTCCGAAAAAGTACGCACCGCACTTAGAACAGAGCACAAGTGAACAGACAGTTCATGACAGTCCTCAGTTGGGAAATAGAAAAATAACGGTTTTCCGCGAATGTCAATCAAGAATAACTGATCGAACGTGTTCCTCCTATAAGAGTCAGGATCACGAGCACATCCCAGAAACACCAAGATAACGTACCTTATTGGAGTGCCTTAGTTTGACTGCCTCTAAAATTCTTATCTTAGAGACATGTTTTCTCTTTAGATTTTGTTTAGTTTTACTCAAATTTGTTAGTGCATACCGACCACCTAGTAAAGGCGTTTAGGTTTTGTAGCATCCGGGTATTTGCCCTCTAATGGTGAAGTAGTCAGAAACGCGTAATTATTTAGCAACTTCCGTCATTATAAAAAAAAAAATCAAAATGTCACTAAATGAGGGCGCTTGGTCGTTCTGTTTGAAAAGCAAGCATTACTATTTTTAGGCCTTGAAACTATACCTGTCATTACATTCCACAATTCTTCGACGGACAACCGTAATCAACTCAGTCATATAAACATTCAGTCGCTAATGAGATGGTTAGGATGCTTTCATAAAGTGCTGAGATTAGACCTGATGTATGTAGGCTAAAATACTTGAATACATGTAAATCCAACATCCATAAACTACCTTGTATCCTGAACTTTGCGAGGTCCAAACACTGATTAAATCCGACACCTACTTTAAGTTGAAATTCCTGCCAAATAATTCAATTTAAGAGGTAATAGTGACGTTTTATCAGCTTTCAACTATTTAATTAATCGTTTTAAATTAAACACCTTGTGTACAGATATGGATGAAGCGTGTGATAGTGTAAAATGTGTGTTTACGGAGAATGTTCTTAAATCTTGACACGATCATGAGCACGGTGACAAAGGTAGCCGACACAACCAGGTAAACCAGATGTACCGTAGACTCACCGGCGTATGGTGAGACCAAGCGATTGAATGTTTTAACACGCAGTTTGATTTATAATCAAATGAAATATTTTTTTTAAAGTTTTGCCACAAAATAATGAATTGTAGCCCTATATGGTATTTTTTTAGCTGGCGTATATCAATTGAAAGCACGATGGTGACTCTAAGTCTAAGGATATTAATGCTCTTGTGCTGGTGTATTCCAAGTCGACTATCATCGCCTTCAATCTCACTCATGCAGAGCATTTCCTACCGGCAAGATAAGCTAGGTCGACAACAATGGGGCTCGGAGGCCAGGTTTCGATACAGTGATGTAGAAAACCCTGCCGAAAATGATGTTCTACAGGAGCAGTTTCACCAGATGGAAGAGAGTGTGTTTGAACAGTTCAAAGAAAAGAAACGAGAATTTCAGGAAACAGATGCTCGCGCGCCACCATACATGCTTGAACTTTATCAACGCTTTTCCACGAATAGGTACGCTCATCCGAGCTCGAATATCGTTCGGAGTTTCTTGAATGAAGGTAATTCGAAATTCATTCCTTATTAAGTTATTATGCCTACTTAGTCTACGCTGAGCTAATACACTCGAATTTTCTAAATGGTTATAACTATCCTTTTATTTGTGTAATAAAAATAATTATTAAATTCTCCCTAATTCAGAGAATCAAATTAATTCCAATCATTTCTTTTCATAGACCCCTAAATTAGGTCGTAATTAATAAAAAGCCTGCAAATTAGCAAAATCTGAGTTGAATCTATTACAATTTGATAATGTATTTAATCAAAATGAACAATTTTATATTTTTATTTTATTTTTAGCTTTACTTTTCGATTTACCACGGTATTTACATTACCATCATCATTTTATACAAAAGAGGGCCTATTATCCGTAAAAAAAATTCTCCCAGATGAATTGTTTTCTTCTCACGAGGAAACTCTAGCCCTCCGCCCCCGCTCTGGTCAGTTCTGATCCATGCTCAGCATATCTAAGACAACAACGCATTGTATCTAAATTATTGACCAAAGGGTTTCTCTTTTTTTACACGTAGAAATCGACGAGTTTTCTGGAGACAACGAGTTTGAAACATTTACAAAATTCAGCGAGCATTTTCTGCGATTTAATGTCACAATTCCACTTCACGAGAAAGTCGTTCTTGCTGAGCTTCGTCTGTTTACACTTGTTAAACAAAAAAAGGGATCTGGCGCTTTCGTAAAATTCTCAATATTTGACGACCAGGAAGATGGAAAACTTGTAAAGGTGTTGGTGAAACATATTTACAAGGAAAACAACGGATGGGAAACGTTTGATTTGACAGATCATGTAATCCAACAGTTATCGGCCAATCAGCAGCATCTATATTGCCTCCGTGTTCAGATTGATGACATCATTCCAATGCTGATTCTTGATACGTCACGTCAAATCCAATATGAACCTCTGCTAGTTATTTATTCTGACGATAAATCGAGCAACCGGCAGACGACAAATTTCAACGAACTGGAAGATATGATAGAACAAGAAGAGGTTGTGACTAATCTGAAGACTGGAGCCATACTTAAAGAAACCAGACGAAAAAGAGCATTAAATAGGAAAAACTATTGCCAAAAAAGGGAAATGATGGTAGATTTTAAAGATATTGGCTACGATAATTGGATCATAGCACCAAAATCATACCAAGCTTATCAGTGCAGTGGTAAATGCGTCTTCCCCTTAACTGACCGATGGAGTCCCACAAAACACGCCATCATACAGACACTAGTCCACGAATTCAAGCCCAAGTCAATCCCGAAACCTTGCTGTGTTCCGAATAACCTCGCTCCAATATCCCTACTTTACATCAAAGAGGGTGTTATCACCTATAAATATAAGTATGAAGGAATGGTTGTTAAGGACTGCGCATGTCGCTAAAGGATATTGAACATATTCAAATTCTTCACCAGAAATTTAATATTATCAGTGTCTTAACTATGAGAGCTTGTGAACAACTAACATTAAAAAGTTACATAATCAATTTTTATAAACGAAATTATATATTTATCACCGAATAATGCATTAAGTTAAAAGTGGTGACAATTATTATTAAGAAACGAATCTTTTATTTAAGAATGTCCTGGAAGAATTGAACATCATTCTTCACAAAAATAAGGTTAAGTGAAGCAACAGCTCCCTCTGTCATAATTGATATGGCATTATTTTGACTTGCGAACTATCGATCAGACGCTAAACGCACCCACGGCGTCTTATTGACCAGGCAGAGATACACATTCGTTTCTTGGTCGACGCATTAGCTGCATAGTCAACGCTAATACGTCATCATAATGGGATTCTCGTACGTGGCTACCGTAAATGGTTATTATTATAAGTTTATAAAATGTAGGCCTATTTATTCGTACGACTTTTATATTTAAGTTTAAGTAACGTACTGAATTATTGATTGTTTGTCACCATAATCCATTTGGTTCAATATTATACCTAAACGGTACGGTAGGCCCTATATTTATGAGACTGAATTAATAAAAATCGATTAATTGCAATTCTAGAAGTCTAGTCTGCTTGTGTTTTGGGTGTGCATTCGTTGATATATCATGCAATATAACATGTAGGTATTAGATTCGCTTCTGAAATATTGGGGCATGTGATTGTTACGACGATACAGAAGTATTGATTCTGCCGCCATAATCCTTTTGGTACAATTATACCTAAACTGTATATTTATGGGATTATGAATAATTTCATTTACCGGCAATCAAATTCGACGAATTGTATTTTAAGAAGTCTGTCTGTGTATTAGGTGTGAATTCCTTGATATACAGATGGAAGTCCTTCTCAATGTTTCTATATCATTTCGAGTTCTTTCTTACTATTATATTGTACATAGGCCTATTAAGAAATATAATAGGTTTGCTATTTGTTTTGCAGTTTTTTAGACCAGGCCTACCAATTGTAGGCCTATATAACTAAGGCCCTTTCATTATTCATACTACAGAATTAATAATCATCACCTCATCCTTATATTTCAGCATCATCGTTACCTTAGCCACCACCATCAGAATCATCATCACCACCACAACTACCACTACCACCACCACCACCACAATTATCATCAACATTAACAATATCATCTCCATTATCGTCATCACCATCATTGCCATCTTCATCATCATTATCATCATAAGATCAACGTCATCTTCCTCGTCACCATCATCATCATCAACACCACTACCACCACCATCATTATCGTCATAACAATAATAATATTAAACGAATTTTCATGTGCCGGTATCCGTCGACGACGCTTGTGGCATGGTCAACGCCACCGCCATCACCATACTACAATTATCATCAGTTGTAATCGGATTTTATCAAGGCCACTGCCATTATTACTTTCACACTAATGTTACCAGAAGCAATGATCAGTTCCTCCGATTTTATTATTCAGTCGCATAAAATACAGTTTAATAATAAAATAAATAATAAATGTTACATATTGTAACATGTATATTATTACATTTTACATGGGGATGGAGAACACGACTAGGCCTTTATATAAAAAATGTTATGTAATAAAATACACAAATATATGTAGGCTATACAGGCATATATATATATATATATATATATATATATCT